CTAGAGCTAGGTTTTGGACCATAGGAAGTGAACTGGATGTGTATTTATGTGAATGAATGTTTTAGCCATGTGAAAAAATGGAAATAGGGAGAGCTAGGATTAAGGTTTTGGGTAGGGCAGTGAGCGAGCGAGAAGAGGAGCCTAGATTAGTGTTTCTAGTAGGGTAGTGAGAGAGAGGGGAGAGGATCTTACGTTAGGGTTTCGAGTATGGTAGTGAGGGAGAGAGGAGAGGGGCTTAATTTAGAGTACTTTTGGCCACAGGGATTGACGCGCCAACACTTATCAGGACGTAAGTCGGTCATACAATGCAATTTAACATGTTAAGTAGTAATGCAGCTAAAAAGTGTCAGATATTGATCCCACAGGAAAAAAAAAAGCAATATTTTCTTCCACAGAAAAATCTCTAGTTTACTAATTTAGTTAAACTAGCTTGGTGTTTATCAAAAAAAGGTTTGAAATCCTAATTCTAATGAAAATACAATAGATCGTAGGCAGAGGAAACAAAAAAACATAACATATCTCAAGAGTTCCTTCAAATTTGATGAGGCTCATGCCTCTGTGATTAGAGGATCATGATGATTGTTGTTTTCTAAATGTTTTTCTATGTGATTGTTGTTAATCAGGGATATGTTATTCCTTATGCCTATGCTAGATCAAAAGAAGCCTACAACCCATAAAATTGAGGCTTTCTCAATCCTCATGGCATTCCACATGATTATTCTAATCACTAGAAAGATTGCAGAATTCTACTAAAATATATTTATTCTCTCGAAATTATATGGTTAACCCTTTGTTTCCACTACATGACAGTTAAAAATCATAGTTTCATGAAAAATTTTAACATCCTAGTTGGCCAGATTATAAGTAAATTAAAATTGAAGATTAACCAGCAACATGGGTCATTAAAGCACTAGAAAACATTAACAAAAAATCATTTTAGAAAACCACAACGCAAATCACCGTACATCACAAAGACACGAAGAAAAGTCTAGCAACGCATTGTCGTGAAAACCGCAGATTCATAAGGCATGCAGATTTTCATTGCAAGAAATATATAGAAGAAAAAGCTTATAACAAAACTTGTCCTCCCCACAAGAGTAGCACATTTTTCTCTCGTACAATAAATCTCTCAAGAACTCACAAGAATTTAGTGGTGGAAACTCGCCTCTGGAGGTTCCAGTCCAAACGAAGGAGAGAAACCTAAAAGGAAAATTTTCTCTGATCAAAACTCCACCCTTCTTACAGCCTTCAACCACCCATAATGCCTTAATATCAACCTCATGCATTATATTATAGGCAAGGCTAGGCAAAGGTAAGAAAATTCTTGCAAAAATAGGTTTAACGAACCAGTACGGGTGCACCACGAACACAGCGTGCCACTTAACGAACCAGTACGGGTGCACCACGAACACAGCGCAGGTGCATCGGAGCTTGCAAGAGGGTGCCATGATTACAACGTTGGTGCGCTGAAGGTTGAACAAACGAGTGAGTGCAGGCGCGTAGGAGTTAAAGCGAGCACACCGTATTATAGGCGCGGGTGCGTTGGTCTGAAATCCTTATATGGTGCTCATTTTTATTATGTTTTACTCTAGCTTCTTCGTTCACCCTATCCCTACACAACTATGATAAAACCATCTTTCTCAAGCATAATATTGGTCAAAAAGATGAAATTACATTGGAAAATATGATCAAAATATCACATATTTCACTTTTATCAAATCTTCCAAACTTTTCCTCAAGTAATTGCATAACTCAATAGGGATATTTAAGAAAGTACAAGGAACTATTGAAGCATTCTAACTTTTCAATTTGCCTTAAGAAGTGCAATGGGAAGAACTAAGTATTGTAGCGCAGGAAAAATATTTGAAATAGATTTATGACAAGCACATCAAATTAATTTAGCTGGATTTAATCTTAATTGAACCAAATATTATTTCAGATATAATAATATTAAGATTTAATAAATTTGGATTTATAGGATTGAGTAAATCTTATTTAACTTAAATCCTACTTGCAGCCAAACACCCCCCAAGTGTAGACACAAGTGCATCTATGATATCTACCTAAAAAAAAATCCTATGCTAGGGGCCTGTTTTGTTATCTAATGTGTCAAAGTCAAATAGATGATCACAATGATTCTCCTAAGTGTACAACCTGAGTGTTTGTGTGGTATGAACCAAGACTAATCTTCTGACCAAGGTGACACCTAAACATGCAAACTATGTTTTCTATGGCATGCTCCTTCTACATAAAACATATATACAAAAAAACATAAATTTATAATTTTGAACCAACCTCTAAATGAGTTTATCAAATTCAAAATTAAAAAAGAAATGTGAACGTGTGAAAGTAAAACAAATACATTCACAAGTGCATATCTCGTCAACCATAACAATCAACACAGATGTACATCTAAAAAAGCACAGTAAACACAATATATCAACAAAGTGTGAACCGCCTACCCCCATAAAGAGGTGTACAAACGGTTTGAAAATAAATAGAGATTGTCACCCCCACAAAGGGGTGTACCAACAGTCTAGAACCACCAGCCGCACGAACAAGTGTACCCACGATCCCGGAAAAAAAAAAGAGATTTAAGAAAGGTCTCACCAACATGAAGTTTAAAATCATCTATTTCGTCCGCTTCAAGATAGCTTTTGCGGTCACCCAATACCTCGACCATGATCGGGTTTTCCTCCCAAAGGCGCCCAAAGATACTTGTATGAGATGAAGGGCGTTTTTGAAAACGCAGTCTAACCATTTGGATTACGCATTTTTGAAAAAGCTGTCAGCCGAGTTTGGGTTTTTTTACACTAAACGCATGCTGCAGGTCGACCCCCCGCGGTAGACCTGAGAGCCGCGTTCTATGATAAGTTGCTTATCTTGAAACGCACAAGATGCCCCAAACAGACCCGAAGTTCAATAAAGGATTGCACAAATAAATGTATAAATGTGCATAATGAAAAGAATGCAAATAGCCAAGTGTCATATATATGTATGCAAGCAAACAATGTGAGTTTTTTTTCTTTTTTTTCAACATTGATTGAAGATAATCAAATGCGAAATGACGTCTGCATTAGGAAAGGTTTAATAGCATCATACTCTTCACGAGTATGAAATGTGACGACATTCGGCCTGCAATGCCACTTCTCTTTCAATAGTTTAAGGTAGGACTTGAATGGAGCTTGCAACTCGTGTGAATCGAAGGAGGGGGGGACCTCTTTCGGCTCTCCAGACAAGGCAAGGAAGAGCTAAATGAAGCGTTGTGTTTCAGGGCATACTTTTAATATCATATTTCCCTCTCTTTGTAACTTCTATAAATAGAGGACCTTTGGCATGTGCAAAAGAATTCCTAGGCTCTCTCTCTTAACCGGCATGTAGGGAGCACACTCCCCTTTTTTCTCACTTATAACTTTTATTTTTTTGGAATAAATGAGACAAAAGAACCCGTAAACACACATTTTCGACCCCCACAAGACAAATCTCTCTTTTGCACCCTCTTTTTCTTTCTCTCGGGTCTCACGCTCTATTTCTTCTGCACGATTCAGAAAAAAATCTGAATTTTTTATTTATGTATATTTTTCAAAGTTAACCCGCTTCAATTATTTGGATCAAACTACTTCATTTTATTGTACTTCATAATGATACAACATAAATTTTCATTAAACCTCTAATTCACTTTTAATGCACTTAATTTGACCAAAATTGCTAAATCTCATACCTCTAATTATAGCTATTCTATACTTTTTTTTTTCTTCTTTCTTACCAAACTTTGAGAAGAAAGTATTTATTACGAAATCACACCATGTTGGCACGACTTCATCATTTAAGTCGTGCATACGTGACTTGATCTTGATGTTTTTAAATTTTTATTTTTAAATAGTTTTTTTTATATTAAATAATGTTCAAATTATGTCTTGTTTTAAAATTTTGCCCATCATTTTTTTTTCAATTTCATAGAAACCATATTAATTTAAATTAATTAACGACTTGGCCGAATTAGGAGAAATTATTTATTAGAAGAAGAAAGTTCAGATATATGAGAAAATATTGCATCAGGACTCTACGCCTAAAGTTATGTGCGAAGTCCAATGAAATCACGCCACGTGGCGGTGAAAAAAAAAAGTCCGGAAACACAAGGGAATATTCCTTACATGTTATTCAGATGTTATTGTGTGTTATTCAAGTGTTATTGATGTGTTATTTTATTATTATAACACCGAAAATATTTCTTGAACACAATAACACCTGAATAACACGGAATAACACGGGGGGAATATTTCCCGATATTACTGGACCGATTTTTTTGCTGTCAACTCCACGTGAAGTGATTTCATTGGACTTCGCACGTAACTCTACGTAAGACGTATGCAGAGCTGCATACATCTGTAACCTAAAAATATATTACAAAGAGGTTATTAGGAGGTTATAACTGTGTTATACCCCCTGTAACATTCTTGTAACATACATATACCTTCTAGTAAGTCCTGCACTTCTGTTTTCATATACTTGTATGTTACAATAGGTTACATGGATGTTACAGGGGGTATAACGCGGTTATAACCCCTCAATACCCTCCATGTAACCTATTTGTAGGTTACAGACGTACTGCGTACGTCTTACGTACTCAAATTTTTCCGCCGATTATAACCGTTCGAACCCTAATTGACGGAAGGCTTCTTCTGAACCAACTAAAATTATGAAATAATTCTCAATGATTTTTATTTACTATTATACCAAATAATTCTTACATGTTTACAAATACAACACCTAAATCTTCATATTTACATGTATATCATTCAGATTTTTAGCATCACATAACAAAAAACCACCATCACTAACTTCTTAAAACTGAAATACATATTCCCATACATAAGTTTATGACATCAAGATGGTATAAGCGTAAATATCAAACTTTGAGTGTTGTAAATGTAAATACATGAGAATTGTGTGGTATGTAAATTTCCCACGAAAAAAAAAGGTTTCAATGTATAACCAAGGATTTAAAATTTATGTTAATACATAAATTTGCAAGGCAGTCATAATGACATTTGCAAATTACAAAATGATTCTGTGGAGCATATTTCTACATTGGCATAACTCTAAGGCAGTCATAATGACATTTGCAAATTACAAAATGATTCTGTGGAGCATATTTCTACATTGGCATAACTCTAAGGCAGTCATAATGACATTTGCAAATTACAAAATGATTCTGTGGAGCATATTTCTACATTGGCATAACTCTAAGGCAGTCATAATGACATTTGCAAATTACAAAATGATTCTGTGGAGCATATTTCTACATTGGCAGAACTCCCAAATTTTGCTTCAGCAACTGCTGCTAAATTGATGCTTCCTGTACTGTTGTGAGCAATGTGGTCTCAGCCTCTGTGGAAGATGGAAATCCATTTTGATCCGCTGAGTTCTGAATTGGATCAGCAAATGATCTTGTGCATGGCCATCTAAATAAGAAGAAAATAGGGGGGGATATTTAGTAAAATACATAAATTACATTATTTAAATTATTATACTCTTACCTGCTTGACTTTATGATGACATTGTCTACTCTAGTTTCATGATCAAATATGTCCACTGCAATGTGAAAAGGAGAAGTCATGATAAATATTAAGCAAATTATAAAAGTTAGGAATCATTTATTTTTGTAAAAGTAACATCATTTATCACCATCACCATTGAAATATTTGATCAAGTATAACTTTCAACATATTATCTACAAGCATCAACACTTAGTGAGAGGAACGGAACATCCTTCGTATCACATAAAAAATACCACTATCACTATCTTTTAAAAAATAAAGAAATACAAATTTTAAAGCACAAGTGATATAATTGTTAAGGAAGATTTACAAACATATCATTCAATTCCATCCTTCGTATCACATAAAAAATACCACTATCACTACCTTTTAAAAAATAAAGAAATACAGCACAAGCATTCAATTCCTACATATTTAAATATCTAATACCAAAACTTACAATTTTTTACATGCATGCCATATTACTTACGCATAAAGAGATGTATTTCATTTTTTAAAAGTTAAAAATAATGGTAATTTTGATGTTATATGAAAATTTTAGGTGGTCTAAATTAAAAAAAAAGTAAACTTTAGGTGTTAGATATGTGAATACATAAGAGTTGGGCGATATGTATATAAATACCACAAATTAAAAAGGCGACTCGAGGCAAGTACTAAAATCCTGAGAGAGAATGAAGAGGATTGAAGGAGGCAAGCTGATGCAGTCATAAAAAGAAAACTAATGCTTTCAAAATTTTCATCATTCTGTCTCGCTTCCAAAAACAATGGCAACAACGAATTAAATATTAATATTTGTTGTAAAAGTTCTTGTAAAGTTGGAAAAAATAATTATGCTTCTTCCAGAGTAATTAATAAATGTTAACATACAAATTTGTCATCATAAAACATGGATAGAATCCATGCAAATGAGATGGCCTCTAGAATAAGATGAATAAATTAGTTTGATAGGGTGCTAAATATGAATTTGAAAGCAGCTGCAAAGGGAGAGAATCCATAACATTGATAGTATGCGCATGAAATTAAAGCAAATTAGAGCTTTTTCAAATTATCATTTTTAGAAATATAGCTCGATATGTTAAGCAAAATATGGATCCTTGGGATTGAGGATGTCGCGTGTGATCTAGACTTAGATCTTTGGGATTGAGATTGTCAGAAGACGGAGATAGTGCGGAGGATGAAAGATTGGAACTTCTGGGGAAGATAGATCCTGAAATTCTGGAGGTCCGGGTCGGGCTCATACAGAGAGCTAGCGTCTCGACTGGAGGCACTACTTCAACATGTGTTACACAAGTGAAGCTAGATCTCCATCCTGTGGATCTGAAGCCCGATGGATCGACCACATATCTGAGTGGTTGCGTCGGGCCGAGACTGCTGTCATAGGTAAGAAACTAAAGGGATATTTGACCGGGGACAAACTAAAGAATAACAGTGCTGAGGGGGATAACTGATGGACAACAAATGTCTTAATCTACGCCTAGCTACTCAACTCGATGGTTCCGTCAATTGCATCATCAGTAGATAACATTGAAAGACGAGGGACATCTGGGCAAAGCTGAAGAGGATTTACGTTGGGACAAAGAACCCCATGAGGGTATTCCAGATTTAAAGTGAGATAGAAGCAATAATACAGGTGATAGATCGATTTAGAAATACACCATATATCTGAAGCAGTTGTGGGGTAGATCTTGATCACTTCTCATCGATGTTGAGTTGTGATAATCCAGAGTGCAAGGAAATAGAAAATCTTTATATGGATGAGGACTATACAGTTTCTGGCTCATATGAACCCGACCTTTGATCAGAGAGGACCAGTCCTCCTAGCTCAACCGACTGTCCCTTCACTAAATGAAGCAAGTGCAGCGGTAATACAAGAAAGTAGCATGTCTGAGCCGAACGGATTTCCAGGTGCGCAATTAGCTTTAGTTGCCTCGAGCTTAAATACGATAGATATCCAGAGGGAGACTCGCAAGTGCTACAACTGTGGTGAAGTTGGGCACCTGGAGACTCGCAAGTGCTACAACTGTGATGAAGTTGGGCACCTGAGCAAAACCAGTCCAAGGCCACCTAAGGAAAGAGACAGGTGAATGTAGATAGAGTGGAGACCGTGGTGGTCAAAAAGGTAAAAAAAAAGGGCAACCAGATAAATTTGATGATAACAGATGAGGGAGAGGTGTGGTTTTACTAATGAGGATCATGAGTGTGAAGTTGCTGAAGAGGAAGTAAAAAACAACAAGAGATGGAGCTGAAAATGCTACCAACCAGTCGTTATCAAGGGATAACATTGTCACTTATGCTCATTCTGACAAAGGTACTTATAATACACATGTTCTTGCCTCTATTTTCACCACATGATCATCAGAATGGATAGTAGATTCTGGTGCATCTTGACATGTGACAAATACTGCTAGAGAGTTTTATTCTTATACTTCCCTAGCAGTAACATAAATCATCTAGACTTTTGATGGTACAACACAGCCTATTGCCAGTAAAGATAAAGTGAGGGTACTAATAATATGACTTTGTCCAATCTTTTGCATGTTCCTTCTTTTGTAGTAAACCTACTATCCATTAGTGTAATTATTCTACAACAAAAATATGTTGCTTCTTTTGATATTCCTAAGGTGCTCTTCCAAGAGAAAGGGACGGGCCGAACACTTAGGACTGAAACATGGCATAGCAGACACTTCGACTGGGAGGGGACAGACTAAGCTTTGTCATCCATGATGAAGAATGTTGGAGTAGGAGAATCTAGGAGTATGGAAGGTGTGTTGATGCTACATCATAGACGCATGTGACACCCTTTATGAGTCGGTTTTATCCTTTTTTGTATGAAAAGGCAAACAAACAAAAGGTTGTTTGTGATGCTTGTAAGTTTGGCAAGCCTAAGAGGAGCACTTATATCAGTTCTAAGAATAAGAGTTCTGGTATTTTTAACTTGAATTTTGATGTTTGAGACCTTGTTCTACAAGTTCCATGAATGGTTATCGATATTTTGTGATCTTAATTGATTGATTTTCTCGTGTTGCTCGATGATATTTGATGTAAAAAAAGGGTGAAGTGTTTGTTTGCTTTAAGCACTTCCACAAGACAATTCAGATTCAATATGGTGTAGTAGCGAAGGTATTGAGATCAAATAATAGAATAAAGTATACCAACAAAACATTTGGAAAATACTTATCAACCCAAAGGATATAGCATCAAACCACACATTCATATACGCTGACAAAAAATGGAGTAGCATCAAGAAAGAATAGTCACATTATAGAGGTAGCCTGAAACATGATGATCACAATGAATATCTCAAAACACTTATGGGGCAAGTTATTTTGCCAGCGGCTCAATTGATCAACAGGATGCCCTCAAGGGTGTTGGATTGAAAGTCTCCTTGTCAAATGTTTAAAGAAGATAATAGCAGTATCCTCTCATTAAAGGTGCTTGACTATGTATGTTTTGTGAATGATGATAGACCATCAATACGAAAGCTGGTTCCCATAGTTGTGAAATGTGTATTTGTATGTTATTCTGCAGACCAAAAGAGATATGTCTGCTAGAGCTTGATAAAGAAGAGACTATTTGTGAGTATAAATGTCACTCAAAGAATTTGAATTGTACTACACCCAGAAGGTGATCTCACCTTTCGTGACTCACCATATACTGAAGATATGAGAAAGGGGGTTGAGTAGCAATGGTGAGAGAGTGGTACAGGTGAGAGTAATGTCTAGTCTTATGATGTGAGACGAATCAATTAAGGAATCATAAAATGAGGAGCGAAACTAGAGATGGTGGGATTCATATGCGCGAAGAAGAAAGCAAAATGAGGGAACGGTGTCTGCAGTACCACTTATGCCAGCTAGTCTCTTATCCCCGCCTTCCCCGACTCTTGAGACACCTACACCATCCTCCTCTGACTCATAACTCTCAGGTGCTACGATCCCTCCTCCTAAACCCCCAAATTTAAGGAGGATCTCTCACAACAATGCGAGACATCATCCAAATTGTTTTGGATGAAAACATGATATTGATAACTTTGTTTCATATTCTAACATATCACTTTTGCATGAACATTCATTGCATCTTTGGACAGTCTCTATGCCTAAGTTTTGGCAGATTGTTGAGGATCATCCTAAGTGGAAAGCAACTATGTATGAGGAGCTTAGAGCTCTCAATAAAATCAAACATGGGAGATAGTGCCAAGTCAACCGGGAAAAAGACAGTTAGGTGCAAGTGAACATTCACCACGACTGGTGGAAAAAATGAACAGTCATTCATATGATATTGACTATGATGAAATATTTGCACCAGTAATAAAGATGAGCACAATGAGAACACTAGTTTCTTTGGCAGTGAATGGTGGGTGAAGGCTACACCAACTTGATATGAAAAAACACATTTTTTCATGGTGAGTTACTGGAGGAGGCATATACGGAGATATCACAAAGATTCAGTACAGTCAAGACAGTGGACAATGTGTGTAGGCTCATGAAATCATTATATGACTTGAAACAATCTCCTCGAGCCTGTTTTGACAAGTATTAAAAGACTATGGTGGGCATGAGATATCAACAAATCAATGCAGATCCTACGGTGTTCGTTCGACAACATGAAAGTCACACCACTATACATGTTGTGTATGTTGATGACATCATTGTCACTGGTGAAGATGAGATATAGATTATCCAACTAAAGACAAGATTGGGCAATGAATTTGACATGAAGGATCTTGGACAGTTCATATACTTTCTTGGGATTGAAGTGGCATGTGGACCTGAGGGGATGATCTTGTCACTTGTCTCAGAGAAAGTATGTACTAAATCTCACGGAAATAGATACATTGGGGTGCAAATATACAATATCTCCAATTGAACAGAAGACCAAACTGAGCGCAGAGGCAGGAGAACAGGTTGATCGTGAGAGATGCTAGAGATTGTTAGGCCGTCTGATCTATCTGTGTCACACCCGAACCGACATCTCTTTTGCAGTGAGCATGGTGCATGATCCAAGGAAGGGTCATATGGATGCAGTATATTAGATTCT